TTTTACCATTAAGAATGAGATCTAACAACCTTGTTAATAAACAAAGCCTCTAGAATTCAATCTTAAAAACTAAAAGAAAAAAGGATTTGAAATCAACCCAAGAATAGTAAATATCGAATTACCTTGTTGATTAAATATCTCACGGTAAGAAAACTTGTCTCATATTTGAGATCTAAATCCCAACACGAGTAAGATAGGTCTCACTTGAATGATCTGAACACGCAAAGTATCAAAATTTTGCAAAATACATTAGTTTTGGCTAAAAAAAACTTCCTTTCATTACATATAAATCTCAATACAAATGACAATTTCAAGACTTTAAATAACCTATAAACTATAGGAAGAGACTCAAGCAAACGGAAAGACTCATATCCTATCAGGCTACAACAAATGTCCAAAAAATTTGACTGTCAATGGATACATAGTCTAATTGATAAAACACTTACTATCTCCCTGAATCATCATGGAACTCAATTTAATTAAAAATAAAAAATAAAAAAAATAAACTTGACCAAAGCAAATGAATTGGACACAATCAACTACTAGATTATGTCACCTCACCGATTCCCCATCCTTGAATTTTGTAATCATTTTTATTTGATTTATCAAATTTTAGGTAATAAATTAATAATATTTACTATATATTTTGAAAAATAAAATTAGTTAATTAAAAATTAAAAAAAATTAGTAAACTAATTCTCTATAAATTTTAACTTAAATATATATTTTTTAATTTTAATTAAAAAAAATTAGTGGGGAGTTTCCATGTTTATTGAACGAGTGTTTTTATTTTGCCTGGTTGGGTTATTCATGAAGTGGATAGTATCTCGAGGTCTTTCTTTTGGGAGGGGTGTGTAGATGTTCCTCTAGGGGCGAAGGTGGCATGGTTTCAGGTTTATTTGCCGCTGCGTGACGGGGGTTGGATATTCGTCATTTGCCTTCTTGGAATTGTGCTGCTATTATGAAACTTTTCCGACTCTTTCTTATGAGGGCAAGTTCTATTTAATTGCTTGGGTGGATGCTTATATATTACTGTTGGGTTTTATGTCCGTGGTTTGTAAGCATAAAACAAATATTTATTCAATAAAGTTGTTATTGATGTTTCTTTTAGAATTGCATTAACTCAAATTCAATAAACTAACATCCGAGGTTATGTCATGTAACTATATCAGTATATAATAGATATACAGTATATTTTTAATATACAACGTATATATTTCAAGTTCCAAAGTCAGCACTAAAGGGAACACTCATCTACTCCCCTAAAATCGGAGAGGAGTGAATTCTATCTTGTAAAGTTATGTTCTCAACTCCCCACTCGGTCTCGTCCCCAAAATGGTAGGAATGTTGAGTCGACGACTCGGGCCACTCTCACCCATACAAATCGAAGGATGAGCCCTTATGAGCAGGAGTCCATAACTCACTTAGGATTGAGAATGAGTTGTTTTGTCATCCTAAGAAATAACAATTTGTTAGTTAACGACGTTACATCTAAATATTTGATGTTTCGTGGTCTGGTCTTATACAAACTCATTGTATAGGATACCCCCACTCGCATGTCTCCACACGAACGACTTGGATCAAGTCGTCTGTAACATTTACAAAGTGGGTCGTATCCATAATGTTGTCAGGATAAGGTACCCAACCTTATCCATATACTATAGACCCTTTAGGTTATTCTCGAGACATTATCCACTTGTATATCGATGGTATATCAAATATATACCCGATATATATACTGTCCCGATTACATTATAATAGCCTTGGATGTTTAGTTTATTGGATTTAGACAACACAATGCTATGAATTCAACAACAAATTGATTGAATAAAACTTTATTGAATATAAATTTGTTTTTACATAAATACAAACTACGAGTTTAAGGCAACACATCCAATAAAGAGTTGAGCCAAACTACCTAGGGCAAGTTGATGAAGCCAAATTAGACCTGACTCGAACTGGTCGAGTTCGTCAACTTGAGCCGAGTTAAAGCGACAACCCATCTGTGAGTCGACCTCGACACATAATACATACTCAATTTATTCAGCGTCGAAAATGTGTGAGTCTCTACAAGTAGGAATAGAGACCAGGTGCACGAGATACACATTCACAATCCTACTCCTTTCAAATCTCAATTCAACCCATTGTCTAACTCAAGTATCGGAGTGTGGTGAGTTTGATACTGCACCGTTGTGCAAATTTTATTGTGTATGCAAGCATTCAACCTAAATCGAAATCCTCCATCAACATAGGCAAAAATGTAACAAAAAGTTGGCCAGTTCAAATTTTGGATAAATTAGAAAGAAAATCTAGGGCTAGGTTGTCACAAGGAGGCCCAAAACATCCCAATGTCACAAGTCAGGCCCACCTACCACTATGGCCTACCAACCAAACTTACCATTTATGTTCATAATGTGTTGGACATTGTACACCCACTCATTTACTCACTTTTCCTTCTTCTTCCCCTCTCTCCTCTTCCAAACCCGAGATTGATACTCGTGTTCGAGACTATTTTCTTGAAACATCTCCGTCTTCTGTTTTAATCTCATGTTGTTATATAATTGTTTGACAACACTACTTTACGATTTATAAAAAAAAACATTAATATTATTATGCTATTGTGCTCTACCCTGCTAAATCTAGAAACTTTAAGAAAAATAAATTGACGGAGGAAGAAAAAGTACTGAAAAGAGAATACACAAATTTTTTTGAAGAAAAAAAGTTCAAGAGAGAAGTCTTTATATAGGTGTAGAAGAAGTTGAGGAAAATTGCAAAACTATTAAAATTCCAAAAATAAATAAATAAATAAATTCTATTATTAATTATAAATAAAGGCAAAGTCATAAATTGTATAATTTATTATTAGTCAAATTTATGTTTAATCTTTTCGTATTCTAATTTTTTATATTCTGTCTTTTTTATTTCAATATTATGAGTTCACTTAAATTATTAGTTTTAATATATCTTTAAACTTTGTTTTTAAAAACGGCTAGTTATTTTGAAATTCCATGGTATGGTTTGGTTAATTAAAAGTAAAGTTCTAAATATTAGAATTAAATTTTGAAATAAATGGACAAAATTTTTTACATTAAGCTTTTTCTATTCTAACTTTTTACATTCTTATCATTTTTTCCATATTGAGAATGCATAAAAGAGCTGATGTCAGAGAAAATTCGAATTGGTATTCTTTTTGATAAAATAGCAATGTATATTTATAGTACTATTTTTAAAAATTATTTTCTATTAGTGTTCAAAACTTTTGAAGTTATATTCCTAAGTTTTTTTTAAACAATTATATTACTAAGTTATAATTAGAGTAAAGTAATCAATTTTAGAATTAACCAAATCAAGGGTGACAAATGTGAAATGGTTTAGTTTAAAACAAAAAATTAATAGGTTTTATTTATATGTGGGTGGAAGGGTTTTGATTTAAAGACCTATTTATTGCATTTGTGTGGAATTGTCAATTGTGAAAGAGTTTAATTTTTAAAACCATGTAAAATGATTTTATATTTATATGTGGGTAGAAAATTTTATTAAAAATATTATTTATAACATGTGTGTGAGAATTCGAAAGG